CCATTAGTATACTTATCAGAATTTAATTAGACGAGTGTCAGGCAGCGTATAGAGGCATTATCTGGTTAATAAGATATGGTCGGGTGGGGTACCCACGACACGGTACTTGTGCTGTCTCGAAATAATACTTAATTATAATAAATACGATTCATGCTCACCGAGCTCTTCGTTGTACTATAGAATGTTGGATGTGGTTTCACTGTTGATCAGGAGAAGTGTTTATCTTTGGAACAATGCTTAACTCATTTAGGTCGACTGAGCAGATGTATCGTTTAGGAAGGAAAAGGTATAAGCGCAGCACAAACGACACGTGTGTGAATACCTGAATGATCGCGGCGTGAATACCGTAGATGAATATCGTATAGTACTCACTATTTGGGCGTACCCATACGTACCTATTTATAATACTTATTATTACAAAAGATGGCGTCGGAGGAGTGTACGCAAATGATTTCCGGCCACTTTATTACCCACGAATATATAGATATATTACTATATAATACTTGCATAATATTTTATACTGGTCCCGTGACGTACATCTATATACAATACGGCACCGAGCTCTGAAGGGGTGGTGTGTAAAAAAACCGGATCTGACGAACTTCGAGCTTTAAGCGCTATGGATGAGTGTGCATGTGTACGGGTGTATGTGTGTACATATCGAGGGCAGCGATTTTAATAACTCTGGCAGAGTGATGACATTCCCCGGCGGCGGTCATAATATAATATAATTTACCATATCGAACCCGTGGCACGTGTCATATATTATACTTTAACATATTATTATGATATAATGTATATATTATTATAATTTAAATTATATTGTAATTCATATTGAATTATATAATGTTCCGGTGGTGGTGGCTTGGCTGTCGATAATTATTATTATACCGATCAAGCCGACTGCATATGATAGGTAAATTTTTTTTTTTTTAAGCTATGTATAGTACTCACATAACTAAGAATTAGGAAAAAATACCTAACTTTATTGAAAAGAAAAATTAACTCAGTTCAGTTGAAAATTACTACTCAATATTGATAAAAAAGTAATGTTGTTCGGTCGAAAGTTTTTGACCAAAAAAAAAAAAAAAAAACAAACCCTAATCAAGTTATCAGTTAAAAGTTGAACATTTTTGCACTGTACGTTTTATATTAGAACCTGGAATACATATATGGACGTAAAGCAAATTAGTATTTGGAATCGTTCAAGCTATATTATTAACACTTTAAAGTTTATGCACAATCCACTTATAAGTTCAACATAATACAAATATAAGAAAAATAGAAATAAATAGGTAATAGAAGAAAGTATTTTTTTGAAAATCAGAAATATTGCAATTTATTAAATTACGACATTACGTATGATGTGAATTTTTACTGACCATGGATTAATTTGAAGAGCTACAAATTGGTATTATGTCGTACATACACCCGTCACTTTAAGTGCAGTTGTTATAGCCATTATTATTATTATTATTACTAAATCACACCACGCTGCAGTGTTAAAAATATCAGTGTTATGAATGAGTTATTGTGAAATGCCGGCAAGAATAGACCTGCGAAAGTGGTGTAGCTAAATTGCATATCGTTTGCGCCGTGTTATCGTTATTTTATTATTCAAACGCATAAAAAAACATTATCCGGAAAAGTCGCGATGAAAACGTGCACTGAGTATACGCACCAAACCTAGCCAGTTGTCGTAGAATTTAATAGTTTTATTCTATGAAATAAAATAAACTTTACTTCGTACTTACCTCAGCCATGTTGAAAATTAGCTCGTTAGGTTTACATTACATAAGCACATACCGTCATAATGTGTGATAACCCTCGCGTGGTAGAAACTGACACGCCGAGGCAATATTAAAATCTTCACAAACAATTAACCAACCACAGTAACATCCAAACCCTAATCAGGAATGTTATTATAAATACATCATTAAATATTTTTATCATTTCCACGTCTAGTTACGAAGAGATGAAGCTCCGCGGCCGTCCGGAAAATCACTCGTGTGGTATACTGAGACAATAATATGCATATTATTTTATGCTTTTCATACAAGCTCTCTCTCTCTCTATCTGTCTCACACAAGCACACATCGACGCATACGGTTGGATGGGAATAAAGGAGCAGTATAAGGTCGATACGAGATATTTCAGAGTAGGAATCGGCAGTAAACGCGAGGGCCAAATAAAAATAGTACAAAAGCGCCGCCGGTTGCAGAGAATAGTAACCAACCAACAGAGTTTCTAATCCGAAATCTACGCGGCGGCGGACAGATTTTCGCTAACGAAACGTGTCTGAAATAAAAATCGAAAAATCTCCGGCGATTCGTATTCACTTCCGCAACGTAAAAGTTTGTGCTTGAAAAATGCGATAACCAGTGAATACACACAGCCGCCAGTACACTCGTCGTCGTATATATAATAGAATTCTAGTTTTGACAAATACCTAAAAGTATATATAAGTATATAAATATAGAGAACATAATATGATATATAATATATGTATATGCATCATCGTGTACGCTCGGACTCGTCATCGCGAAACGCAATTTTTCCAACTATTTACGTCCAACTACAATGCTACATAAACTTCGATGGCGTTCGTAAATTAAATATAAGTTTTTATCGAGAAACATGAAAATATATTGAAAAGAGACGACCACCGCCGCCGTTACCTTGTAAACTTTACGACACATCTAAGAATGCTTATCGGGACACGTCGTTATAGATTATGTATATATATATTTATTTACGATATTGATTTTTCCATTTCAAGCACTTTTGTTTTATTACGATTGGATATGGGACTTGTTTCCGCGAGTGCGATTGTGTACGATAATAAAAACAAACGTATCGCCTAAATCGCGGGTTTCTCGTATACAGGAAAACAAATTCGATCAACCGTATCATTATGAATATTTCGTTATATCAATAAACGAGTTTAATAGAATAATAAAAAAAAAACTATTGTATAAAATTGTAAAAAATCTATGTAAATTAAACATGACTATGCAATTTAGAGTTCGAAGAAATTCAATTCGAATGGAAATTGGTTTGCGATCGGGCAACAAGTGGCGGTGGTGGTGGTTTGAAGTTAATTCTTTTCAATGACTTTTAATTGCTTTGAAATCAATTAAAACAAAAACTTTTTCACTTTTAAAATATGCTTACCATGAGACAAAAGGGTTATAAAATACATTATTTTAAGTATCATATTTTTTCTGCCACAATATAACCCCTATTTGGAAGTTTAATATTATTGTTCTTTGAAAGAATTAATTTGCCAGACATTAGTTATGGTTTAAAAGTTACTTCTGTGAAAACTTTTTAACAGTCGTGCGACACTCGGTTTTGAGGGCGTCATAAATCACAAAGTTTTTTTTTTCAAGACATTAGTAAGTATGACGCACCCCTAAGGTATACACCTTAAAATAACATTACACTTGGGTTAGGCGAAGTTTTAAGACTATTATAAACTACCATTCGATGAGACTTTCGTGTCACGATTACACGCGCTATGACGTATACATCAAATCGTAAGGCTTGTGAAATATTGTATGTACACGAGTCGAATAAATAAATCAAAAAAATCAGAAAATATATATTTTTATTACTGCTATCCACCTATCTAAAATTATATAATTTATTTGATTTTAAAGTACATGTTAAATTTATACATTTAGTGGTTACTTATCTTAATATGCTATTAAAAAGGAAACCATTTTACTTTCTCATATAGGCATTCATGTGGTTTAGAACCACAAAAGGTAATTAAATTAAATTGAGCGAGACAAATTTAAATATTTAAACAAAATAAACAAATGGCTAATTTAATTATGAACATATTAATTATTGAATAGTTTTTAGAGATTACATTTTACAACAGACCACTTGTAAAATATATGAGCTGGAGAAATTGCTGATACTTAGCAAAGACACTGGTCTCCGATTATTATCCTCCCTCGGTATATGATATATCGTTGTTTTTAATTATATATTTGACCTGGATATTTCATCGAATACGAAAAACGCATCGAAGTGGAACTCGATTCTCTAAAGTGTTTTTGACGTTATTCAAATTTTAAGTTATTATTATGAACATGAGTAAAAGTTTAAAATAAATTAAATAGAGTTATATATGGAATGAATAACTTTAAATTCAAATTTAAAGTCTTAATTTTAAAATAAGAAATCTCATCAAAAGAAATCTCAAATTTAATAAAAAAAAAAATAAAACGAATAAATTTTGTTATATTCAAATTTTAAATGTTTTTTGTAAGTTAATTAAAACTTTAAAGGTTTTATAATAAACATTACATTCTACGAGTGATGAAAAATCCCGATCATATTAAACACAAATACACATGAACAATTAAGATAACTTTTGTACCGTAGCGTTTTCAACTTCAACTGTAAAACATTTATTTATCAGAAATCTCAGTTTTAAAAAAAGAATATGCCTGGAATTAATGCACATTTCTAAACAACTGCTGTCTGAAGAACATTATACTTCTATTTCTGAGAGAGGATATATTATACACTATTGAACATTTTTATTGCATTCAAATGTGGGTTCTTAGAGAAGTACGTTCCTCTCTCCATTTAGAAACTAAAATATAAATGCTTTATCGATCTGCTCAGGATCAACAGAAATAATAGAATTTTAAGATATTGACATGCCACGTGGTTGGGTTATATTGAACTATTTCGTTCGAACAACGAGACACACAAACTGTAATGCCAATTTAAGAATAACCGTAATTTGTATACTCGCTGAACAAAAAAAAAAAATATATTAAATCAAATTTAAATATATAATTAGACCTGATATATAATAACTATACATTGGATGAGAGAACTTTAACTGAAGGCAATTTCACTGGATGCATTATAACGAAGATTATGAAATAGGGTGGATTTAATGACGAAGAATAGTGCGTACTGCGTACGTATAAGTACCTATATATTATAATATTATATGATTGCTCTCGACTTACCTCTGACGAACTTCATCGTTCTTGACCCGTCAGTGGGCGACGACATACCATTACACGTTGCATCTCCTGACTGGGCCATATCGAACGAACCACCTATCGATTTGCCCACAACAAAGCACCGATATTTTTCTTCATCCGATGACGTAGGCGTATGTTCCAGCTTACCGATCATGTACTTCGTCGAGCCGTCTTTCCACGTGGCCAAACACAACAGTTCCTCGACTGCAACATTATAAAAATGATAATAATTATTATAAATTAATAAAACGTCGAGAGGAAAAAATAATTATATAGGTATATGTATAATATACGCTTATATACGTGTTTAAGTACATGATGATTATTTTATTTTTAATATTCGTATTATATATTAAATTGACGGTCTGCCAACATTTAATGTTGGTCAAGAGGCAGGAGAGGTGCGATTGCAATATGATATTGGCATGATGAAGTGTATACAAACAAATAATATAACTACAGCGACTTTGAACAAAGCACAACCGACTGTGAATGACCGAGGGTAAATTATAGAAAAAAATTAATATTTTAATAAACCCGATATTAATATATTATGCTAAATACTGAATTGTCGATAAAGGTTGAATTCGTTTATATATAATATATACAGATTGAATATGCTATAGAACTAATAATTACTCTGATCGTACGGCACGAAGTTTAAAACATTAAACACATCACTATTATTATTATTCAAAACAAATTAACTGTTCACTATAGAAAACAGTAGAAAATAAGGTATTTGTTATACTTAATTTGAATTTATCATTATGCATATAAAATGGTTTTGTAGATAGATACATTTAATATTTTAATATTTCATTGAAGTATACGATTTAAATATTTGAATTTAAGGGTTGTTATGTAAAAATACAAATGTACATAGTATTATGATACTTGTGAAATATTTAAAAAACACATATCGTTTTTTACGCAAATCGTTGGCAATTTAGGGCAAAACGGTTGGCTTTCAAGTACATAGTGTTGCGTTAAAGGGGGAAAAACATGAAAATTAATAAATGAAAGATAATTTGGAAAAGAGCCAAAGTGGCTTTTTGAGTTTCCCATAAACGAACATTTCACTCGCGTTCCCTTCTCATAACACGCGCAGAGATAAAGCACATACTTAAAATAATTTAGCTTTTTTAATTTTTATTCAAAACTGTTGCTATGAAGTTCAGTATAATACTATAATTACATATAATAATATATTATGTCATCGATGTGTATTTCGACTGGAGTGTGAACACAAAAAAAAAAAAAAACAAACAAAAAAACTCCTGCACAAATACCGGAGGAGATGACTTTTTAGATTTTTATGTATGTAAAATACTTGAAACACAATTGCTACGTTCAAACAACAGCGGTTAAAGGATACCCAAGCAATTTGTAATTTTAAGTACGGTTATAGTTAGGTATAGCTTCAAACAATTACCGTTAATGACATTCCACTTGGAACGAGAAAAAAAAACCGTGTACACATTTGATGTGCTCAATTCGTTTTTTTTTCCCACAAGGAGAGTGCGCTTCAGAATTCACAGAATGTGAACAAATGATAAGTATTCGCGAGGGGGTAGATCAAAACACAAGCGTCAAGTAAATTGTTCTGGTACAGGGGGCACGATCAATGAACGTTTGTATTTAATGGGCGACCATGCGGGAGATGAAAAATGCTTGTATTTAACAACTTCTCAGTGTGGGTAATGCGATCGCCTTTCCAATTAATAGGGAAAATAATTATATCCTTGCGTTGAAAACACTATTTTCTTAGAAAATGATTTCCATAGAATTTACGAGATCATCGTTTCGACAGAACACTTCGAAATGAGAAAAGGAAAACAAAGTACCTACATTATTTTGAGCTATTTACACAGGGGTTGAACTATAATAACATATTATATCGAACGGATATTATTTTCGTCGGAATCGTCGTGCAGAAGGAATTAAACCGACAAATTACGTTTGATTTAAATGAATATGACGTAATGTTTACGTAGAATAGATTGTAAAAAATTTAAACAAATTATAATATAAATAATATAATAGATGTGGCTGAAACTGAAATAAAAATGTTCGATTTATGTTCGGTATAATATATGTATTTGTTCCAACACCCTTCAGAAAAAATGGGGAGGACAACTAGTGTTGGTTGTGTGCGTCATGGTAACGTTGTTCATCAAACAATAAAACGAATGAAAATTCGGACGATTACAAAAAATTAATTTTCGGGGAAACCAAATAATCGAAAAAAAAATCGAATTTTCCAACTGGCCAAATTGAAAACAATTTCCGTTTGACTTCCGAGAGTAATTTGTTTATAGTCAATAAGTTTATCGATGAATGCTCGTATACGCATTATAAATATTTAAACTATATATTGTTGTGTGCACATCATGATGGTTAGACGACTGACAAAGGCGTATACGGTTTTATCGTCGAAATGTAGCGACGGGGCGTAACTGCAACTGAAAGGTATGATGAGACACCGTAAAATATAAAGCGACAAAAATTCGAAATTGTTTGAGATAACTTACGTAAAATATTATGTGAGACTACATAAATTAAAAACTATATAAACAAAAACCACCACTGTACACGTCACTCTGAGCGACGGTATAATTGACGTGCCGAGTGGCGGATCTGGACGTATAGCGACATAAATTTTCAGCTTAATAATTCAAGTAGATTCAGCTTGAAACTAGTGAGCACTTCCGTAAGTTAACACTAAACACACACACTGCACTGCGACGACGACGACGAAAAGTGAATGGTGTATGTACACTGTACAGTTAAACGTTTCAATTTATTAGAAGACGATAAATTTCATGGGGATCCCTGGTATTCCGGAATTATTATTCTTTGGTTTTTAGACTGCGGTTATACGTGTAGCGCGTAAATCACGCGATAACAACGGGAAATGCGTGGTGTATCTGTTTCGAGTGTAAAATATACTCAGTGTAAACGTCGTTGTCGTTATACATTCACAATATATAATATATTATATACATATATTATCATATGATTTTGAACTATTCCTAATGCTCGCCGCCCTTACTTCGGCTAATAGTGTTTTCCCCGTGTAATTTATGTGTCTTGAGAACAACAACTCAACACAATAGCCAAGCCAATACCACTGCCACCGCGCTCCAGACCCGGTAACTTTATCGTAAAACGCGATTCATAACCTAACATTTTCTTCTTCCGGTTTGCATGAAACTCAGACAAATCCAGGGCGATAAATTTTCATTAACTTCACTACCGTATAACTAAACTTATTAAATTCCAAAAGAGATACAAAAATGGAAAATATTATTACAAGTATTTTTATGGCAGTGACCTATATTTGAGAATAATAATGCCACGAACAAGGAACATCTAATTCCTGTGTTTAAGTTTAAACTTATGTACTAGGACAAGATTATAACCATGATTGCGGTTTATATTGAAAAAAAATCACTTAGTTTAAAATAAAATAATTTGTAAACTGTTTTTTTATTATTACAGTACTTTTAACTGTGGACATGGAAAAATTAGCTGTTTGCTGTACAATATGTTATTATACAGTTGTTAATATTAATTAGAGTAGTAAATATAATCAATACTATAGTGATTCGTATAACAATAGCAATTAATAGGAAATTAGACATAATTATACTGTACTGAATTGTGATTACTTATAAAAGGTACCATATACCGTATACTCTCGTTTAGATTATAAAAGGAACAAACCCCTCCAACGCACTTGCATAAGTGACATAATTAATAGCCAACAAGTTGGAAACTTATTTAAGACAAAGTGTACAAATGAATATGATAATAACCCAACAGCGGAACTAATAATATAGAAATTTAATAAATAAATAAAAAGTGGTCAATTGGTAAACGCTCTGCTGTACAGTAGGTGTCGAGTAGGTCACTGTAATGTATATTGTGTTAAATTTGAATATAATGATAAATCATTAGGTACATAGGAAAAACGATTCTGAGCGAAGACGGATTATGTTACTTATATAAGTATATTTTATGATAATATTGCTGTTAAGGTAATTTATTTTGCTATTAGTAATACAGTAGGTTGAATTAATTTTTGCCGAAAACATTGCATTTGAATATATGTCATTGTGGGTATAAAATATAACGATGTAATTCAAAAGTTTCAAGTACTCACGAATAATATTTTTAAATTACAACAAAACAACTAAAATCGTTAAGCGTCATTTAAATATCTAGTTTCGTCCAAACTCGAACTTAAAATATCTACCTATGAAAAAACATGTTCGATTTTGACCTTTCAAAAGTATCGACTTGATTCAGTTCGTTGTCAATAAACCCACCCTGAAAGTAGAAATCGAAGCATATTTTCAACCGATTTTCGTAAATGCACACACACAAACACATCATCGTAAAATCGATACATTCATAGCTATACTCTCAGAATCTAAAACTAAAACAAATTGTGAATGTACAATAGTGTACATATAAGTATTATACACTGCACGGGATATGTCAGTATTTATTTGCTGCTTGATTACAGTACTTGACCGATGTGCCTAGTAAATTAGTAGACGATTGCAACTATTATTACACTGGATATTTGAACACACACACACCGAATACCTCGAAAACAGCATTTCGAAAACTCAACGAGTGGTCCGGATGGAATACAGATAGAATTTAACCGATAACTGATGTTTGGGATAGTTGAATTATTTATTCGGATGTTTGGTCTGTCAAATTTTTGTTTGAAACAAAAAAAATACTGCGCGGGAACGTTATGTAATTTGTTGTGGAAAATTTATTATGCGAAAAGTTCTCGAGAACTTTGAATGCCAATGAGGCGCACACAAAATCTATACGGTCGCGATAAATCTGAATCCATTGGACGGCGAATTCATATATCACGGAACGTATTACAGGCAGCGTAGGGATATAAGGCGGTGCAGTGTCGTGTTGTACTAGTGCACATGAATTGCCTATCCGAAAGGCCACGCAAAGACGAGTGTAAGGAATTATTATTTATTATATTTTTCAATAATTCACCAGAGAATTCCATCACGGGGGGTTTTTTTTTTTTTTATATATACATTTATACGTTTACCGTTGTCTCGGCAAAATGCCGGAGAAATGCGATTAAAAACATGCAAGGCTTATTGAACCTTTTATTTCTGTTTTTTATGTGTATACATTTTTTTATTGTTTATTTG